GGGATCTTCCCAGATCGGGGCACGAACGCGTGTCCCCTGCATCGGCAGGCGGACTCTCAACCACTGCGCCACCAGGGAAGCCCCAAAGCAGTTACTTTTTTATGCATTAAACAACTGAGTGCCTAGCTTGTGCCAGACACTTTTTGTTTTGTTTTGTTTTTTTAGTTTTGGCTGCGTTGGGTCTTCGTTGCTGTGCACGGGCTTTCTCTAGTTGTAGTGAGCAAGGACTATTCTTCGTTGCGGTGCGTGGGCTTCCCATTGCAGTGGCTTGTCTTTGGTACGGAGCCCGGGCTCTACGTGTGTGGGCTTCAGTAGTTGTGGCTTGCAGGCTCAGTAGTTGTGGCTCGCTGGCTCTAGAGTGCAAGCTCACTAGTTGTGGTGCACGGGCTTAGTTACTCCACGGCATGTGGGATCTTCCCGGACCAGAGATTGAACCTGTGTCCTCTGCATTGGCAGGCAGATTCTTAACCACTGCGCCACCAGAGAAGTCACCAGACACTTTTTAGATAAAAGGAGGAGATAAAGGCAATAAACAAAAACATCTCTACCTCATGAAGCTTACATTCTAGCTGAGGGAGACGCATAATAAGTAAATAAATAATTATAAAATATGTCAGATAGCAAAACACTGCCACGAGGAAAAAGAAAGCAGAATGTGAAGATTGGGAGTGGGTGGGAGTTGCTATTTTAGACAGAATGGCCTAGGAAGGCCTCTCAAAGGTGAAATTTGAGAGAAGACATAAAAGAACTGGGGGACTGGGACTTCCCAGTGGTCCAGTAGTTAAGACTCCGCTCCCAATGGAGGGGGCCCCGGTTCGATCCCTGGTTAGGAAACTGTATCCCACATGCCGCAACAAAGATCCCGCGTGCCGCACCTAAGACTTGGCCCAACCAAATAAATAAGTGTTAAAAAAAAAAAAAAAGGAACTGGGGGACCTAGCCATTTAGATTTGTTGGGGGTTAGCACTCCCGGTGCAAAGACCTTGAGACAGTAAGGTGGTCCTTAATAAGCCAGGAGGAGGTGGCAGAGGGCAGGAGGTCAGAGAGGTGGCCGGGCCAGGTCATGAGTAAGTTCTTGTGGATAATAGTAAGGACATTAGAGTTTATCCTCGGTGAGATGGAGAGCAGAAGAGTGACGGCAGCTGACTCATAGTTTAGAAGGATTGCACTGGGTGTCTGGAGAGTAGATTGGAAGGGGCTGGTGGAGGGGCAGGGAGATCACTCTGGAGGCTACAGAAATGACCCAGGTGTGGGCTGCTGGTAGGGTGAGGGTGGAGATGCTGGTGAGAAGTGGTCATCTTCTCCATAAATTTCAAAGGCAGAAGTAAAAAGTCTTTCCTTACGGGAAGGGGTGTGAGGAAAAGAGAAGAGTTAAGGATGACAGCAACGTTTGGGGTCTGAACCTACATAAGAATGCAGTTGCCATTTTACTGAGACAGGGAAGACTTAGGTGCGGGCTTATGGTAGGGTTTGGGGAAAAAATCAAGAGTTCAGTTTAGAAGATGTTTAAGTTAGTGATGTCTATTTGATATCCAAGTGGAGATGCTGAACGTGCTGTCACATAGATGTTTGATGCTCAGGGGAAACGTAGGAACTGGAGGTATAAAGTGGGGAGTCCAGAGCCTGGCTAAAGTCATCGAGGGTCTGAGAGTAGACAGAGAAAAAGGTGTGAGATCTAAGACTGGGCGCTGCAGCGTGTGCACGAGGAGGGGCCAGAAGGAGGACCCGGAAAAGGAGCCTGAGCCAAGTGCCTGGGGGTAGAAGGTGGCCAGGAGCATGCGGTGTCCTGGATGCCAAGTGAAGAGAGCGTGGCCAAAAGGAAGAAGCCCTCAACTGTGTCCAGTGCTCCGGAGAACTACGGGAGGACAGGGACCGGGAGCCCACCGGCAGATTTGGACAATGGTACCATCAACAACAAGAAAGCCAAATAGAGTGTGTTCAAGAGCGCAGACCTCACCTGTCAGGAACTCTGTTGCAGACAGAGGCGGGGGAGCCGTAGCTGGTAGGCGATGTAAAGTCCAGAGAGACTTTGGTCTGCTTTTGTTTCTTTGCTTGCTTAAGACGTTTATAAGCTGATGGAAACGAGCTGTCAGAGAGGGAAAAATGCTGATGCAGAAGAGACAGGGCACGATTTCAGGGGGCTCTCCCTGAGCTGCGAGAGGGGCGCGGGATATGCGGCCCAAGCAGAAGGGTTGGCCTTGTAGGCAATTCATCTGTGAACTGAGAGCGTGTGAGCAGGCTCAGGCACTGGTGGGAATGGCTGGAAAGGCTTTCCTGAGTGTTCCAGTGAGATGGGAAGCAAGTCATCAGCTGAGTGGGGTGGGGGCTTGTACGAGGTCTAAGGAGGGATGGGAGGTGTAATAGCTCTTGGAAATGGGGGAGTTACACCAGAAATCTAATAAATTGTCAGGCAGCATTAGGGGCCCCCTGGGCGTCTGTGGTCGTAAATATAGAGATAAGGCCACTCAACACATCCAGCCATTCAGCTGCTCGCTTGGTTAAAACATCCCATTTACTCCAAAGGGACAAGTGAGGTGTATTCACAATTCCAAAAATATCTGCCAGGCAGTATGCCCCTGACAGCCACTTGTTATCACATGTCCAAATCTGATACTTTCATTTTGTGTAAAAAGAAAAAAAAGACAACTCATCTGCAAGTCTGACAGGTTTTTTCAGTATTTTGCCATGAGACAACCAACAACCTTCGAGGTGGAAAAAGGACTTTCACGGGTATTCAGCCCATTACAGGTTAGGGTGACAGTCCTGTGGCATCTGCAAGGTCTTGTGTTTATAAAATTAGCCAGATCCGTGGCATCCTGCAGCGATGTGCACACTTCTGCCTTCCACCTTTGCTGCCACTTCCTGCTAGTGCATGAGGCCATGGATGGATTTCACCCGCGGCATTCTAGGCAACCTTATCTCAGAGTCCTTTTATTATTCTAGTCAAAGCAGCCACTCTTTCATTGGTTATATGGACACAATCTTACCCGAAATATTGCTTTTATAAAAGAAATTATTTACTGTTGAGAATATATGCTCCCTGGTGCATCTTCCCATTAGCAGCTCCTTGAAAGTAATTCCTTCCATATTTCATTTTTGAAACAATCTAGTGACTACCATGAACAGGGACTTGTTAGAAACATCTGTATTTTATCCAACTATATAGCAAACCTTCAAATTGCAAACCTGTGTAATTTGTTCTCATACTTGTTTCTTCTAAATTTTCAGCACTTTCTACGTCTTCCAACATTATTTGTTGTCTGTTATTTCAGCCATATTTATTACAACAGAATAGAAAACTGATAACTATAAAATATAACTTTAGGGAGTAGATAGATGCTTTAGAAAACGCAGCTGGGTAGGTAGGTACCATGACTAGGTGGGGTAAGTGCACAGAATTTTTATGGGGTCATCAGGGAAACCTCTCTGAAGAAGGGCCAGATGAGCCAAGGTGGGAATGCAGTGAGAACCGTGCAGGACTATGGGGGACTATGTCCCAGGGAGAGCGACAAGTCCCGAGATGGAACCGGGCTTGGTGTGTTTGAGGAACAAAAGGAAGCCTGTGTGTCTGGAGGGTAACAGGTGAACAGTAGAGTCATTGGCCTCGGGGTCAGATGCTGGGCAAGGCCCAATTGCTGAAGGTCTCCTGGACCCACGGCGCTAATACGAGGCCAGTACACCCTTACAGCCCCTTCTACGTGTTACACCAGGCGTCCCTGGTGGGTCCTGCCTCCTGGCCACCATCACTGGCTCCTACCAGGGAGGCGGGAAGGGACTCCTGGTGGATCAGCTGTGGCTGCCTTGTCCTGCCCACTTAGCCCAGACCTGTGTGTGGGGATAACAGGCTTCACAAGATTCTGACTCAGAGAGAGCAGGGAGAGCCTGGGGGAGCAGAAAAATGGGGCCCCACATAGGCATAAGCCAGGTGTTGGGGCTTCACTGGGAGGGCAGATACTCCCACCCCAGGAGTGGAGGAAGGAAGGGCCTGAGGACACCAGGGTGCAGCCCCCTCTTCTCACCGTTCTTGCTGAAATTCACTTCCACCTAAGGGCGTGCATTTGTTAAAACCCTCCACGAGTCTTCCGGCCAAGGGCGCTAACAGCGCTGCTTTCCTTGGTGAGTGAGAGCCAATGCATATGTAACGTCTTCTGGGCCAAACACCAGTCTAAACCTGTTAACTCCTTTGAATATTATCAGCAGCAGCAGCCCCATTTTACAGACAAGAAAACTAAAACAAAGAGATTTTAAATTTCTGTAAGTGGCCGAGCCAGGAGTCAAAACCAAGTAGCCTAGTGGAGAACATGGTTTTGGCCACATGGCCCTCTCTGGAAGGTCAACCTCATGAAATACGGCAAAATACGGCCCTCCACAGTGGGTCCCTGTGGCTTAGCCAGTAATAAGATATTGACTACGTTAAGAACCTCAGATGATATTGTAAGGCTCAGAAAATGTTTGAATATAATTACTCTTGGTTCAGCAGAAGCTGAGGGACAATTCAGTACTGCAAACAATATTGTTTTATTAAGAGAAATTCTGTATTTCAAGACCACAAGTGACCTAGTGGCTACTGATTTAATGGGGAAGTTATTGGAGGAGTTTGATGTGTTTCACTCTGTCAAATCCTAGCCCCAATAGGGACATTATTTAATTAGTGAGACTGTATCAAACCAAAGATCACAGAAAAACCAGAAATGACTTAGAAATTATTACACTGATTTGATGAATGCTCTGTGTTTCAACTTACATCATCTATAAGCAGTTTTATTATATAAACAGATATAGTTTGGTTTATTTAGAAAATAGAAGGGAATGTATTTTTAAATTGTGATTTACATAGAAACTTATACATAATATATATTTCCCTACCAGTTGCTAAATATGAGTATTTTGAATATTTCTTCTGAGGCCACAGAAGGTATTTCAATTTAATTCTAAATGTGTTGAGAAGTCATTGAAGGATTTTGAACAGAGGAATGACATGCTCTATTTTATTCTTTTAGTTGTTATTCAGGTCTCTGTATGGGGAACAGCCACAGATCACAAGGGTGGAATGAAGATGGCTAATTGGGAGTGTCGACTGAAAAAATGCACCACCTAAAAGTTGGGAATTATGTTTTATTCAGCGGACATACTGAGGACTTAAGCCTGGAGACAGCCTCTCACGTAGCTCTGAGGGATTTCTCCAAAGAGGTAAGGGAGGAGCCAGGATATATAGGAATTTTTTGCAACAAACAAACAAAAAACGAAAAAACCCCAGGTAGTTGGAACGTCAAAAGATTACTGTTAATTAAAGAAAAACCAGAATCTCAAGTTAATGCATTTAGCACTTTTCTACGTATGGGCAGGTGCAGGATGCTCATTGAAATCATTTCTTTGATATGCACCTTAGCCGTCTGGGGCCAGTATCCTGCTCGCTCCATCCTGAACGCCCTCCGGGTGCACCATGGGGACGTGGGGTGCCTGTGGTTGCTGAGGGCTTGATGACCGCAACAGCCTTTGTTTACTGATATGGCAGGCGACATTCTCTGTGCACAGGAGGCTGTTACAGGAATCCAACCCAGACATGGGTGTACTTGGATAAGAGCACCGTCGTGGGCAATGGGATATAGATATACTTTGGAGGTGGAGCCAGCAGTGGATTGGGTGTAGTTGTGAGAAAAATCCTAGGGATCTAGGATAACGTTGTGAGGTGAATGGTGGAGCAGAGATGGTTATGAGCGGGTTTGGGGTGAAAATCAAGATTTGGGACACCTCAGGTTTGATATGTCTCTTAGAAATACAAGAGGAGACATTACATTTAAATGAATCTGGAATTCAGAGATGTTCTGGCTGGAGACGTGGATTTGGGTGTCCTAGTGTCAAAATGAGATTTAAAGCCCTAGGACTAAATGAGAACACCTGGGGAGCGAGAGTAGCGAGTGAATGAGGCGAGAGCCCCAGGCTGAGACGCGGGCTCTGTGACCTTTAGAAGTCAGAAGGGCAGACCAATCTAGTAAAGGGAGTACAGAAGGAGCGGCTAAGGGGAATGAGGAAAACGGGCGGAGTATGGTGACCAGAACCACGTGAAGAAAGTATCAAGAAAGAAGAAACATCAAATGCTATTAAGAGTTAAGCATAAAAAAACCCGACAAAAATAGTTAAGCATAGAGTTGAGCTTAGCACACGACTTAGCAAGATGCACGGCACTGACAAGACGGTTTTAGTAACGTGTTAAGGATGACAGGTGAATTGGAGTGGGCTCAAGGCAGAGCCGGAGGAAAAGGGTAGACTGTCAGTAAAGGCCTGTAAGGAAGAGCAGGGAGATACAGAGAGGGTAAAAATGTGAACTACTACAGCGGGTTTGTATGTGAATGGAAATGAAACATTGACTGGGGTGGGGGATAGAATTACAGGATCAAAGTCCTTGAGTGGATGAGAGGGACAGATCTGACCCCAGATGAGGCCACCCTGAGGGGCTGCATTATTCTCACCTGACCAGGCCATGGAAATTCCTGGAATGTGGCCACTTCTCAGCCAGGCTGGGGCCCCTGTCTGCCGGGTGTGGCCACAGCTGAGCATCGGAGCTGGTTCCACCGCCTCCTCAGGACCTACCCCCCTCCCCTGGTGTTGCCAACATCCCAGGGCTTGGAGCCCAGGACAACTCAGCTAGATTTTAGTTAAGAGGTTCTGCTGAGTGTGGAAATAGCTAAATACTATTTCTAGGAGGCGACAGAGCAGAGACTCTGCAATCAGGAGAGTGGATTTGAATCTTGGCCCTGAAACTTCCCTGCCAGCTGTGCGACCTGGACGAATCACTTCTCTGAGTCTCAGGTTTCTCATCTGCAATGTGGAGATGATAACTTTACCAAGACGCCTTCTGAGATTGTGAGGTAGAAATGGGATAGTGGGTGTGAAAAGGCTCCGTCAAAGCTCTGTAAGCTGGGACGTGAGATGCAAATGCCATAAATTGTCATGAGGCTTCATTCACTCTATCATTCCCCCATTCATCTCTCAAAACAGGCACAGCTTGTAGAGGAAGCATTTCTTGGGACACATTCCTGGGCACTCCTCTCTGTGGGTTTAATTTTCATAACTAGACTTTTAAGCTTTTTTAAAGATAAGAGCAAGTGCTTGGCTCCTTGTGAGCCTCCAAATTTCACTACAGACATAAATATATCACGTCAAGATCACCAGCTGAGAGGGAGACGTATTATTATCTTCAAAGCTTTCTGGGAACCTGTTAAATGCTAATAACAAAGCACTGGGATAGTCTAGAGTGCAAACACCTGTCACATGCATGAGCTTCCTTTCTCCTTGGGCGCCCATCAACGTTTCTGCTGGAGGAAGAGAGAATCAAGTGTGTCCCCGAAGAATGGCCCCTCCGAGTGCTCCAGGACCTGCTAGCGGCCTGGCCTATCCACACCTGAAGCTGAAACCCCCTGTGTTTTGCGTAGGGCTAGGGAGAAAGGTAAAGAAACGAATACGGGCTGGGTACAGAGTGTTTGGAGCCATAAAAGGCCCATTACTCAGGTTATCTCATCACTGAGTTGGGAGGTAATCGTTCTCTCCTCATCAAACTGGGAGGGAAATTGAGGCTCACTGGCTCACGTGGCCAACAAGAGCCAGAGGGGGACACGGTAACTCGTTTCTCCCTGCTTCAAAGCCCACTCGTTCTGCTAACAGAGTAGGTGCTTCCTAAAGGTTTTCGTAGTGAACGAGCGAGTGGATGAATGAATAAAGTCCTCCGGATGCAAAATTGCCTTTTGTCAAAGGACGTCAACAGCCATAGGCACAGCCCCGATTACACAGAAGCAAAACCGCCTTGTAAGATTCATGTGAGGTCTCAGAGTGCGGCCTGAAAAGCTCAGGAGTTTCCCAAACTCTCGAGTGATAAGATCACAGGCAGGTTGCAGAACCTGTTGGGGGCTGGTTTCTGCATTTCTAATCTTGGGACAAACATGTCTTGCTCCTCCCTCCCTTCCAGGAAGCAGAGTTAACAGAACACAGGTGTTTGTAGCTCTGGCCACGAGCCTTAAAGTCCTTGAAAGATGAGTCCTGGCGCGCGACCCTCCCGTGGCCAGTACTGGCTACGTAACTCGTGGGGCCCAGCACAAAATGGAAATGTTATGCCCGTGGATTGAAAATTAATAAGAACTTCAAGGCGGTGGCCTCAGAGCAGTAAATCGAGGCTGGGGCCCTTCTGAGTATGGGGTCCCGTGTGACTGTACAGGCCGCACACCCACGAAGCCAGCCCTACCTGTGGCTGTTGATTCTGGAGAAGGGAAGAAAAGATCTTAAAAGGAGATTGGTGGGACATCTTGGGAGCACCCAGAATAGGACAAATCAATAAAGTCACCATGGAGATCAGGTTCTAGTTTCTTGAAAGACACAATTTCAGACTAGAAAGAGGGTTAAAATTCATCTAGTAAAGACAAATATCATATGATATCACTTATTTGCGGAATCTAAAAAAATAGTACAAATGAACTTATTTACAAAACAGAAATAGAGTCACAGATGTAGAAAACGAACTTACGGTTACCAAGGGGGAAAGGAGGAGGATAAACTGGGAGATTGGGATTGACATATACACACTACTATACATAAAATAGATAACTAATGAGGACCTACTGTATAGCACAAGGAACTCTACTCAATACTCTGTAAGGATGTATATGGGAAAAGAATCTAAAAAAGAGTGGATATATGTATATGTATAACTGATTCACTTTGCTGTACACCTGAAACTAACACAACTATATCAAACTAAATCAACTATATTTCAATAAAATTTTTTTTTAAAGTATTAAGTCCATAAGGACCAAGGAAATGGGAAGAGAGGCAATGGTAATTGAAGAGGATTTGAAAGTGGGCATGTGGGGTAGGAGGACGCACAGACCAGAAATGGGGGAATTGAGTGAAAATCTGAATACTGCCCCTCCCCCTTCCTAGAATGCCAGTAGCAAGTTTTATATCCCCACCCAAGGCAGGAGATAAGAATCTTCTCTGAAGTAAATCCCAGAGACTACCATTTGGGATTCTTTACAATGAGCTGGTTTGAAGTTCTGTCCTATTAGACTGAAGCCCTAGGACCCAAGTCTGGCTTACGTGCAAAGAGATTTCTAGGCTCCCAAGTGAAAGCCGATGGCTAAGTACCTCCAGACACAGGGGAAATCTTTTAACTTGAAGACAGAAAACAAAACAAACAAAAAAAAAAATGGGAAAAAGAATTGGGAGGATCAGAGACAACCTCAAACTGACAATCTCCCTGAAAAGAGTAGGGATGATCTATGAAAGAAGAACCAGAAAGCTTTGGGGAAAAAAAAAAAATCCACTAAATAAGGAAAACCTCTGGAAAGTTACATATACGACTCAAAATAAAAATTCAATATAAAAAGTAGGGCTTCCCTGGTGGCGCAGTGGTTAAGAATATGCCTGCCAATGCAGGGAACACGGGTTCAATCCCTGGTCCGGGAAGATCCCACATGCCGCAGAGCAACTAAGCCCGTGAGCCACAACTACTGAGCCTGTGTGTCACAACTACTGAAGCCTGTGCGCCTAGAGCGCCTGCGCGCCTAGATCCCCTGCTCCACAACAAGAGAAGCCACTGCAATGAGAAGCCCATGCACCGCAACAAAGAGTAGCCCCCGCTCGCCACAACTAGAGAAAGCCCGTGTGCAGCAACGAAGACCCAACACAGACAAAAATAAATAAAAATTTTTAAATCTAAAAAAATAAATAAAGCAAGAGGATAAGTCTAAGAGGTTAAAAGCCAACTACTAGAAATGCCAGATAGAGAGCCAAGGGAACAAAATTATGAAGGAAACTTCTCAGAACTAAAGCATGATTTTCCAACTCAAAAGAGCTAGCTCAAGGGATGGGCCTAGCACGGAGAATGAAAAAGACCCATGGTCAGGTACACCACGGTGAAGTTTTTGACTATCAGGGATACAGAGAAGATATTATAAACTTCTAGAGAGAAAAAGAAGAGGATCAGAATCAATGGACCTCTCAACAACACTTTGGGATCTAGTGGACAATGGGCCAATGCCTTCAATATTCTGATTTATATCCTACACTTCTATATTCAACCAAGCTGTTCATCAAATGAAGATAGAATAAGATACTTTCAGACAGGCAAGAACAAAAATCATTTACTTCCCTTGTACCTTTAGTGAACTACTGGAGGTAGTGATCCAATAAAACGAGGG